AGAGAGAGAGAGAGAGAGAGAGAGAGAGAGCACACAGCAGCAGCAGCAACAGCAGGCTGGTTTGCCAGAGTAGAACAGGGTGAGCCCTGTTTGGAGAATGTAAATGCTGACCAAAACCAGAGCTGCTCCCTCAGCTGCAGTTTCCACAGCTGTCTTTACTGTGTGTCAAATAGGTGATTTTGACATGTTCAGATCTAGACAGCAGTAAGGGATGCAGTTCTGATGCAGACACCATTTTCCTCTCACTGGGATGCAGATGGCTTGGTTCCTTGGCATCTATCTCCAAGTCAGGAGTTGCAAATTACAAACAGCTGGCCTCTGGTATCAACATGCTGAGCAGCCACCGAATGTAGGTCTCTTATCAGACTGATGACGCATGGTAACTGCATGGCTGCTTTCTTGGCAGCTGAAGCAGCTGCCCTCAAGTGGGTGTGGACAACAGTCCCACCCAGATTTGGGGACACAAGATACAGAGAGTTTTATTCCCTTCCCCCAACCAATTTATCAGAAAAATCTGGAATTTTCAGTCACAGTTTGGCCTAGAACAAACATCCATCCTTCTGCCTCAGCCTCTGGAGTGATTACAGGCATGTACCACCACATTCTTGGGATTCTTTTATAATTTTATGGGGGTTTTTTGTTTGTTTGCTTTTTATTTTGGTTTGGCTTTTCTTTTCTCCCGAGAAACCTCCGAGAATTCTTAATGAGACTAAATGGAACCCTCATTCCCTGCTACTGAGGACAAAAATGCAGCCACTCTAGAAAACAGTTCAACAGAGCTGTCCTGTGGTCCAGCAGCTCTACGCATATGCAGGCATATGTCCACACAGAAACTAACACACTGTGTTCGCAACAGCATTGTTGCTATTACCAAAGGAAGGGCCATCAACTGATGAAGCAGAACACACTGGACGACTGGGAAAGGAGAAGGGTTCATGAAGCATCCATTCATGCTGCAACATGAATGGACTTTAAGAAGCCAGTCACAAAAAGCCACATCCTACACAGTTCCTTTCAACATGTAACTTTCAGTATAGGTGAGCCTACAGAAACCAAAGATTTGAATGGTTGCCAGGTTGAAGACAGGCAGGCTTATAGGGTAATGAATAAGGGTATTCTTTAGAGTAACAACATTTTCTAAAATGAGACTTAAGCAATACCTTGGGAACATGTTAAAAACTATAGTACAATACATGCTTGGATAGGTGAATTGCTCTATGAATTAGATCTAAAGTGACTTGAGAAGCAAAAAATAATGCCTATTTGCACCTTCTAAGTATCACATTCCATTTTGGTCCTGAATCACCTGTTCGACCTGCTACAGTTTGCACAAGGTCACAGAGAAATGGGGGAGGGAAAGGCTGGAGGGACAGGGAGTTGGGGGGTGGGGGTGGACAGTGTTCCAGGCAGGCTACAACACTTGTCCTCTAATCAGCCTAGGCCACTACTCTGACCAGGCCAGTGCCCTGGCTTCATCCCCACAGAAAGCAGGTGATCTAGGCAGACTGTGAACAGTCTCCCGTCTCTACATTTTACATGTCTGAGAGAGCTTGTTCAATGGCTCATGGTGAGAGATGCTGCCATCTAAAGGTTTACTGTGAAAGCATCTACATGCCTAGAGAAACAATCCAGTTCCCAGCTGGATGATGCCAGCCAGCGGTAATGCAGTGCATCTTAAACAGGCCATACTATCAAAGAGGCTTCTTTTTAGAAAAGGATGCTATTTCAATCTTTAGAAAACACGGTTACAAACGGCTAATGAAGTATTTAAGTACATGGCTGTTTTAATTGCTTATTTAACTGCCAGAGAATTTTTTTTTTTTTTAATTTCAGTGTGATGGTTACAGGAATGGAGAAACGTGTTCACAGTCTAAGTGGGGGCTGTGGCATATACAACATCATCCCGATTTTATCTAATGCATGTACACATCCACATTTAGGATATGTAAGAGAGAAAACAGAGAGGCTAAAAATAAAGCATTTGCCAGGAAGAACAGAAACAGCAAGATGGCCAGAACAGGACAAAGAAACAGAACACAAGAGCTGAGAACGATACAGGCTTTCAGTTGTCCCTAGCTCCCTACAGCAAAGCGGAGGAGCCCTGCCATCTTGTCTCTTAACAGTTAAAAGGACAGAGAGCCAGCAAAGCCTTTGTTACAACTGTCTGATGATGCCTGCTGAGCTGTTACAGCCTCAGCCTTGGTCACTGCTACGGATACACCTGCCCTGCTCACCAGAACTCAGGGTGCAACAGCAGCAAATCCAGGGATCTAATTCCAAGCTCCAAAGTTACCCAATATCCCCTCAAAAATACCCTCTTAACAGTTCGATGCTTTCTTAAAATGTGGATTATTTCATGGGACAGCAAGAGGTCTTGGGAATGGTGGGAACAAGGAGTCCTGTGTTACCCGGGGCCTTCAGAAGACATGCACACCCACCTGTCTAAGCATCTGCAATGAATCTGGGCCTGGAGCAGCAGCCTAGTCACCTTAACTATTCTAGAAGCTAAGCCAGGTGGATAGCAGGTCCCAAGGCCATCCAGGCTACAGAGGAACTTCCTGGACAGCATGGTTAACTTAGTGAGACTATCTGAAAACACACAGTAGCAAGAGCTCCAAGGACAGAGCTGACTGGGAGAGCACTTTCCTATCACATGCACAGTCCTAGGTTCAATCCCTCCTTAAAAGCCATTCTTACAAATTCACTTGCCAACCCGGAGGGGTTGTGATGTTAAGAGCAGACTCTGATCAAATTTGGACAAATCTAGGTTCGATCACCATACCCCTCCTTCCATGTCTCCCCCTTATTCTTACTCCAATCTCAGTATGTCCCAGAGGTAAGAAACAAACAAAGGCTCTTATGATGGGGGCAAAATCCATGTGGGCACAAACCAGGGCTATATGGTTCCCAGGCACAAACATCTATCCAGTGAGGTGAATAAAACCTATACCACCACCCCACCACCACCCTCACCCATCCCCCAGTGGTCACACAAGCTAAGCACACTTCCATGCATCCACTAATTCAGTCCTTGAAACCTGGGAACAAAAGCACAGTGTTCACCATTTTTAGGTCAGAAAACTGAGGCTCAAGAAAATCCAACAATTAGCTCCACACGCAAAAGAATTCACACACTGTGTCTGCACAGTTCTGAAGCCCGGGGATTGAGCCACCACTAGCAATTCTAGATCAGGCCTTCAACTCTGCACAGGGCCAGAGCACCAGAATCTGTGCAGGTAGCAAAGCTCTTATTCACCCTATGTGTCTCTGGTCTCCTCTAACTTTTACTAGCAGCAGAAATATTAAAGTGAATATAAACAACCGTTCTGTGCTGTGACCCTTTCATGTAAATTGCTTTTCAAGAACAGCTGAACCATGGATGCTGTAAAACAAGATACGTTTATAGGCAGAGAGGTTTTATTCTTGCCCCGATGGATCGTTAGAAGATTCGTGCACACTTTCTCCCAAGCACGGCAGATGAAGACTCGTTCTCCCACTCTCCCTCTCAAGCACCATTAAAGTTGCAGTAAAGGGATTAAACAGAGAGAGCTGGGGGAAGGAGACATCCACAGGTGAGAACCAACTTCTGAAATAGTAACGAGGACTCCCACGGAGCAGAGGTCCAAGCAGAGCAGGAAAGCTAAGGGCTGCAGAGCCTTAGAGTCACAGTTCAGTATGAGAGCAGGGGCCAGTGAGGCCAACCCTTCAGGGTGGGAAAGGAGTTAGGCCTCTTCCCAAGCCCGGAATAGTCCCTCCTTGATCCTGGCAGCTGGGTTTATTTCTCTAGGAAGGATGAATTCAAAGCCCAGAGAGAACAGTAGTGCTAATGAAAAACTAGGACTAAAAGCACGGATGGGCTTAAGGGACAAACATCCCCTACCCTTTACTCGGCTGTGGGAATACAGACAGGCACTCTTAGACACCAAGGCAGGGTAAGATGCAGAGGGTACCCCTCTGGGGAAGCTCAGACCGACCAAGTACCATAGCTGGCAAAACCCTGACCATCATGTTGTGGCACAACCAGACCTCCCATTTACCTTTCAATAGCACCTCAGTACATAATAGTCATGTACAAAAAGAGTCGGACCCTATCAGTGAAAGGCCCTGCCTTGCAAGTCACTTGACTGTAACAGGACCCCGGGAGGAACCGCTGAGAGAAAAACAGCATTGCATCCAACAACAAGGGTACACTGTGACAAGGAGCTTTCTGTCTGGGATGTGTCAGCCTGCAGCTGCAAAGGAGGACAACCGAGGCCACACCAGTGAAACAATCCCCACTGGTCTTCCTCCTGAAGGGCCTCCTACTAAACCACATCGACAATGATCTCAGCATCATCCCTGCCAAAAAAGTCATTCCATATACAACAGCCATACAATTTAGGGACACAGGTTAAGACTGAAAAGCCCGTTTTCCTCAAGCCCCCTCACTCAGGGGAAATTAATGCCCAGAACATGTCCACACCCAGGTTTTGCTTGAAACAAAACACTACGAATCCCCTGGGCACTGATGACTTTAAAGCAAGACAACTTCCCTCCTTCACACACCAAGAATGGAAGTCTGGAAAATAACTGTCCAAGAGAATGACATCTCTGCTACTACCTGTGTCTTAAAGCAAGAGCTCTGGAAAACAAGACTGTCAGCTCTGAGTGTGAGTGAGTAAGCCAATGTGTTTCCTTGGCCAGATGCCTTGTCCTGGCCACCCCTGAGTGGTTGTCCCTGATAGGTGTGTCAAGCAGCTGTCCCACCTTTAGTGTCCCCAGGTG